AAAAAAAAACAAAATACGGTAATAAAAAAAAAACAATGATTATCAATCTTTGATAATTATTGTTTATATAGAGGGGTGCGGGATAAACTGAACCGACCCCTGATCTGGCATCGGTATACCAGGTGGGAGATGTATCTCTCGTAAGAGATATATCTCCTGTGAGAGATGCCTATAATTTCCCATAATTTATATATAAATTTTGTGTAACCTGTATCACATAGCTCACCAGATGACTGGTGAATTATCTATTAAATGAAAAACATTTCAACTTTAGCTTTCATCTAAAATTTGTTCTTTTGATTAAAAAATATTCAAAATAAATACACAATCTAATCTATATATAAATAACTTTTTAGAAAATTTCAAGGTCATAGTATCTCTCTACAAGAAAATATAGATGCAGAGAAACTTTTATCAGATACTGTACTAGTTAAAATATTATTTATACTAAAGAATTACCATATATTCCCAAAAATAAGCTACTCCGAAAATAAGCTACCTTTCTTTTTTGAAAGAAAAACATAAAAACTTCTATTACCCGAAAATAAGCTACTTATATGATTATTAGTAGTACTCTATAGTAAAGTCAACATTTTACTAAGTAAATCGACATGGCTTATTAAGTAAAAGTTATTCAGAAGATCAAAATACATATATTCTAAAAATTTCATGTAAATCGGATAACTTTTTATTAATTGACTTTTGCATATTACATTTGATAAATTTTTTAAATTTTCTTTAAAATTCATATTCGTTAAATGTAAAAATCAGAAGTCAATTAATAAAAGTTATCCGATTTACATGAAATTTTCAGAATATATGTATTTTGCTCTCCTGAATAACTTTCACTTAATAAGCCATGCCGATTTACTTAGTAAAATTTTTCGCAATCGAGCAAAATCGCTTTTATCCAAAAATAAGCTACTCCTAATATTTTTGTGTAATTTTTCTTCTAAAAATGGTAGCTTATTTTTGGGAATATACGGTATATTAAGCTAGTTAATAAAATTATATCAAAATAGACTTATTTTATTTTATATAAAATTTTTATTAAAGTTAATTTTTATTTCTTAAATTATAAGATAGGCAAATTTGTTTGTATTCATTTTTTTAAACTTTAATTTTATAATAAAATCTTAAATATTAATTTTTGCAATATACTTTTTAAACAAAATATATTTTTTTATTTTTTTATATATGCAATATATTATATTCTATAAGATCTGATGTAATATAAAATCAAAACAATAAAATTAATTTATTAATTTAGAAATAGAGCAATAGTTAGATTAGAATTAGAGTAGAGTATTTTAGTAAAATAGTTTTGAACCAAAATTTCAAAAAGAATTTTTTTGTTAGAATATGAAAGATAGTTTTATAGACAAAATTTTGTGCTATAGCTAATTTTTGATAAAAAATTATAATTGCTTCAATTTTATATTATATTTGATCTTGTATTTTAATTAGTTGATCAGAGGATAGCAATATAATACTATAACAATAAATTATAAAATTCTAAAAAATCTACTTTATTAATTTTGTTAAAAAAATTTTAAAATTATTAAAAACTTTTAATTAATTAAAGTTTAAAGTTTGTATAATTTTAGAGTTTAGTATTAAATTTTTTTTAAGTTTTTTAAAATTTTATATATTTTTAAAGCTAAAAAAAAATTTATTTTTAAAACCAATATTAATTTTTACAAGTAATTACAAAATTTATAATAATTAAAATTATAATCAATTATTTAAACTATAAAATTGTATTAGAAACTATAGATTAAATAAACTAAAATACTTTTTTAAGAAAATTATTTTCAATGATCACTCATACCAAACTTATGACTAACAAAAATAGAAAACTTGTTGGAAAAAGTAGAAGAGACAACTATATTTAACAGTTTTTACAGAGGTCAAGGTTTATTGCTTTTCTTTCTTCCGGACTCCTTTGTATATTCAGCAAGCAAGTTAAAAGTGTTCTTGTACAAGATAACTGGCAAGAGGTAGTGCTCTTGTGCAAAAAATTTTAATAGAAGCATAGCTTCTGCTAATGAAATAAAAGATAGTTGGTCTGAAGGGGAACAACAAACAAGTTTTCAACATACTCCCTATCAAAGTTTAAGGATACCTGCTAACCGAAACCTTTTACCAAGACCCCATTCTCTGTTTTTTATGAAGTTTCATCAAAAAGTGGAAAGTCGGCGTACCTTTATCAAAAGATCGACAACAACAATCACTACCGAAAAAGGAAAGTCATGTACAGTAGTACATGTCTACTTTGGGATGAAAACCATGTTGATCAGCTTCTCTAAGAGGTTACTGTGTTTACACTGTTAACTTTGCTCCAGAAATAAGCGAAGACACATTGTAGGATACCGTATCGAAAATCTGGTAGAACCGCAAGAGAAATTTTAAACTTGGATCTCTACTTAAGAATAGATATTGTATATCTTAATATAGACATAAATAACTAGTATAGAGTTTAGTTTAGTTTATTTAGTAGTCCTATATAATTTTTACAATCCAGCATGAGTTTAATAGTGCTATCTTTGTTTTTTTTTCTTTTATTTTGTTTTTGTTTTTTCTTGTTATTTGTTTTTGGTTTTATTTGATTAGATGGATCATATTTGGACATCGAGGTATTAACCCCTTTTTTTTATATATTGCCCTTCTGTTTTTTTTCTTGGTCTCTTAGTTTTAAAAAAAGGAAAGATAATACTGATATGGCATGTGGCACCGGCTAATAATCGAAAGATTCATACCTCTAGTAAGTTAGAGGCCTAGAGGAAGGCCCGGAGAAAGGCAAACGACTACTAGGAGATATCATACCTAGGCTTTTAAGCCAAGTGAGTCACTGTTTGCGGTTAAAAAAATAGCTACCATTCGCCACTGTATACAGTATCCCCAACAATAGTACCATTATGATTAAGACCCTGGTATTATTCACTATCCACAATAGTCAGGCTATGGGTAGTACCCCGGGTACTTTTCAAAGTTAGACCTTGTGAAAATTGAATAATACCTGGGTACTAAAGAAATAATAATAATTTAATATCATTTTAAAAGGCTCCTCGCACAAGATAGGCTTAGCATACATCTTGTATATGATTTTAATTAAAATTTACTCTTAGCGATCATCTCGCATAAAGGAGCATACTAGAAACATATGAATTTTATAGATTATTTATTAAGCCAACGTGTTTTATTATTACTATAATTTGCCGTGATCAAATAGATTATTTTATTAAAATTAAGTTAGAAAGAAATTGTATTTATGCATTTAAATTTAAGCGATCTGCAAACCTAAATTTTAATTTTAATTTTTTCTGAAAAAGTTTACCTGGAAATATAATAAAGTATTGTAAACTTTATTTTCAATATTTACAAAAACAAGCCTGGCAAGGTTATAAGAACAAAGATTATCTTTGCTTGGCTTAATATAATAAAATATAAAAATATATCAAATTAAATTTTAGCCTTACTAAAATGGTTATAAATGTGATAAAAGACCTAAAACTTTAAGGTTTATTCATTTTTTAAGTTGATACTTCTAAATTGATTTTTTTATTTTTATTTTTTTTATATTTTTTGTTCATGTTTAACGGACCTTCCAAATTTTTGTTTGTGATCTGATTTGCTAAATGACCACTTTTGATCTTATTTTGTGGTTAATTAATTCCAAACATTGATGTAGTCTCTTTCTTCACTTTCATAGTATTCACAGTACTCATTATGATTACTTTTATCATCTTCTGCATCTTCTGCATTTTCTGGACTTAATTCATTACTTTTTTTCTTCTCTTCAATACCAATTCTCCTTTTTTCACCCGAGACCTTTCCAAAATCAAAAATTGAACTATCTTTAGAGCTATTTATTTTAGTAGAAATTCTACAACATTTAAAAGATCGTCATATCATAGCAAGGTCAATATAATCCCACGCTTTCTTAATCCATTCTGTCACTAGTGAATATAACGGACGTTTAATTTTACCTGTTGGTATGTATTCCTTAATAGCTTCATCTATCTATTGGTTGTAAGTATGATGAATCTAAAATAAAATAGTTTTTTAATCTTATGCTATTGTTATCATACAGTTAATATAAAATTAAACCAAATCTAACCTGATGATACATTAATTTGGAACTAGGAATAAGAGTAGAGCAATAGATCTAACCAAAAAAGATTAGTTTATACCTATTACTAATCATAATATACTCATGTTTAAAAATTAACTTTAGTATAATAGCTATTAACTTTTATAACCAACCTTTGCTTTAAATGCTTTATTTAGAGACACATCCAATGGTTGCAAACATGAGGTCAGCCCACTAGAAATAATGGCGATATTTATATTTCTTTCCTTAAAACAATGCTTTACAGAATCCATAATATGAGTGGCAAATGAATCAAGAACAAGAAGTGAACATGGATTTGAGCCCAAATTAGCTCTTCGGTACTATATATTCTCCACGCACCAAATCATTTCTTTCTCATTCATCCAACTACTTAAATTTGCATGAACATGTACACCATTTGGAAACTGTTCTCAAGGCACATTTACTAGTTTAAAAATAATAAGCAGTAGAAGTTTAACACTATTTGCAAGACAAGCAAGGGTTACTGTAAAACAGGTACGTTCATGGCCTGTTGTAAAGATTAAAATAGTTCATGTTCTACATTTCTCAATAGTTGTTTGATTTGGCATATTAAATGCTATTGGGGTCTTATCCATGTTTCCGATCAAGCTTAAAGGATAATTATGT